AACAAATTTTTTTTTTAAAAAAAAGGAAAAAAAGATCAAACTTTATTAACTACAGTATGTAAAGTTTCATTCTCGTTATTTTCACCAAAATCGATTTAAACACTAGTATTGAGTATTTTCGCTTTCTTTTCTTTTTTCCTCTTCACACATGTTCGGATTCTATGTCAGGCTAATCCGGAATACCCGAAATTTGTGTTCTCTGATTGATCATACCTTTTTAGAGGTTTGTATTACCCGCGCAAATAAGTGAACACCAATGAAAACAAAAAAGAAGGATATAGAAATTTTTATTAGCGTTGTAGGACTCCACTATTAAAAATAATCAAAATTCTTTTTTGTTTAGAGAAGTTCGCACGGTGATAACCTAATTTTAAGAAGTCGTTATTATGCTAACTTCTCTAAAACAAAAAAGTATTTTGATTATTTTCAATAGTGGAGTCCTATAATGCTAACAAAACTTTCTATATACTTCTTTTTTGTTTATTCTTCGTATTTTTCTTTTTTTTAAAAAAGTACTTTAAACTGTATAAATAATGTAAAATTAAATTGATTTAAACTGCCAATCATACGAATGTCTGCCTATGAGTATTACAGTAATTCATAGATCGATTACAAATATATGACATTAATTCATAGGTCGATTACAAATATTGTATACAATGATTATAATGTAAACGACCAAAATGTCTGACATTTATACAGACGATCACGGGAATGTTACGTATAATAATTACTTAACTACTGTATATCAGATATACGGTTTTTAACAGTTTGCTTACATAATATATGACAGGTCTATGTAATTTTAACTGTATGCATTATCGTTATATAGCATCCATAAGTACGTAATTCATTCAAAAAAAATCAAGTGGACGAACTCTGAATCAAATGACATACTGTAGATAGGTTTTTCTCACGTTTATTATTTTCACACAATCATATGTACGTACGTACAACGTACGTCCGTACACAGCAATTCATAATGGTATAGTTATGTAATCCGTAAATATTAACTCTTTCTAAAAATGAAAAAAATGAAACATTATTCCTACCAAAAAGGATATTTCAAAATCAGCATAGTGAACATCAAAAAAAGTTGAACGAACAATTCCTCTCACATTTCATGTTACACGTTCATGTGATCGTACTGGAATAATACAATTTATCATATGACATTATAATATTTCCAACGCTGCAAATGATAGTGTGTGCATTATGAATTGGCCTTAATAAAAAATTGAAACTGTAATTGTGTAAAGAAGGCTTTCTTTATATTATATATAAAGTTTTATTATAAACTTTGTGATGGTTTTAATGCTGTATTTTTTTAAGACTTGCTTTTATTATCGTTATTAACCAAAAAAGTCATGTGTTTGTTTGACAGTCGAAAATTTAAATAGTAATGTGTAAAAAAGTTTCTTACCATATTATGTGTAAAGTTTATTTGTAGGTTTTTGTGATAGTTTTAATGCTGAATCTTTTTAAGATTCGGTTGCAATATTGCCGAAAAAATCTGTATATTATACTGTAATACCTTATATAGACTTGATGATTACTTAGTATACCAATATGAGATAATCCTTATCATATGAGATGATCCTTATCATATGACATGATTCTTTATCATATGACATATAAAAAAATTATAATAATGGCCATATTTGATTTTCTCATGTATACTAATGATTACGTTGACGTTTATTACACGTAATGTCTATCGATTCCGGAAATTTTGTACGTACGTACGTACTGTAGGCGGCTTTACTATTACTATTACTATTTGGGTGCCGAGAATCAGGACAATATTATTATACAATTATTTATTTACTTAAATTCTTTCCTCAACTTTTATTAAGCTCTTGAGTATTCCTTAAATACATAATTTTGGACAAGCATTTAAACATGTATATTAATACTAAGGGGTGCGCCGTTTATTACGTAATTTCAAGAGGGTTAGCTGTCTATATAAAAATTATGTCCTTATAATACTGTAATAACGATAAAAAGAAATTACGTAATAAACAGCACTTCCCTAACTAGAGATGGGCAAATCGCAATTTTTTCAAAAATCCCGCGCGGGATTGGATTACAAATCTGCGAGTTTATTAATTTTTTGTGTCTAGTAGAAAAAATCAAATTTATTGTTCTACCGGTGGGCATTGTTTCGAATTTCGGCCCAAATTAAGCTTAATTCGGGTCAAAATTCGATATTTCGAGAATTTACGGTGAATATGTTAAAGCAGGCCAGATATTATATTAATGCCAGTCAGATTATATGGTAATGCCGGCCTGATAATTTTATATTAAAAATCCCGCGCGTGATGCGCGAGATCACGCGCAGGATCATGCGCGGATCACGCGCGTGCCCATCTCTATCCCTAACAGATCTTGCATGAATGCACTTTCATATTAAATTAGTAACCCCTGATTATCACTGTCAAATTCAAATCGTGGCACAACTATTTCATTACTATTATTTTTCTTAAATTCTTACATATTAACCAATTAATCGATAATTAAAAGATTTCACACATATTTAAAATGGCAGTAAAATTCTTTGAAAAACTTTCAAATAATTATCTTGAACTACTTGAAGACAACGAAGATTTTAATATAATCATTAATGTTGGTAAATCTCCAAATACAAAAATATTTCAAGCACATTCAGCAATTTTAAGATATAGATCATTATATTTTCGTGATGAACTAGCAAATATCAGTAAAGATAAGAATAATATTAAAACAATTGAATTAAAAAATGTCTCTATACAACAATTTGAAGTTATTATCAAGTAAGTTATTTTATATTCGATTTATAATCTATATTATGCTATGAAAAAAAAAAAATCTAAAATATGATTAAACTTTATATAAAGATATATCTATGGAGGTGTAGTCTTGCTTGAAAATGTTAATGCACAATTTCTTTTTGAGCTTATGTTCATCGCTTACGAATTACTTTTTGATGAATTAGCTAAATACTTTGAATCCTATTTAATTAAAATGGAAGCTCATTGGCTTCGTTTAAATTTTACTCGTATTTATCAAAAATGTTTTCAGAGTAATAAGCTTCAAGAATTACAAAAATGGTGCAATGATATCGTGGTAAAGTATCCTAATAAAATTTTTGATTCGGAAAACTTTATCACGATTCAAGAGAATGCATTAGTTTCACTTATTAGTCGAGATGATTTACAAATGGAAGAAGTCAAAATTTGGAATTGTGTTATTGAATGGGGAATTGCTCAAAATTCTGGTTTATTATCCAATCCTAAAAATTGGTCTAATGAAGATTTTCTAGCTTTAAGGACTACTTTACAAAATTGTTTGCCTCATATTCGTTATTTTCAGATGTCTAGTGATGAAATTATCGATAATGTACAACCATACCAACAAATTCTAGAAAAAGATCTTTGGGATGATATTACAAAAAAGTTTATTTCACCAGATAGACAAATATCATCAACAATTCTCTCACCTCGTATAATTTTATCACCAACATTATCCATTAGTAATACAGAACCATTTTCAACAATTATCAATGAAGAACATGCAGCAGAAATTACTTCATGGATTGATAAAAAAGCCAATCCATATTCAGTAACGGATAATCCATACGAGTTTAAATTAATTCTTCGTGGAACCAGAGATGGTTTTTCTCCTGATTCATTTTGGAAATTATGTGATAGGCAAACACATCTTGTTGTAGTTATGAAGGTTAAAGGTACTGATGAAATTCTTGGTGGTTATAATCCTGTCGGTTGGGATAAACCAGATGTAAGTTTCTATCACTATAAAGAATGCAAAGATAGCTTTATTTTTTCATTGAAAAATGGTACTATTCAAAATTCTGTTTTAAGTCGTGTAAAAGAGCCAAAATATGCAATTTTTTGTCAAAGCAGCTTTGGCCCAATTTTTGGTGGAGGTCATGGTGGCTCCGATTTAGTTATGTCAGATTATTCTAATCAAGATATGAGTTGTTGGAACCATCAAGGATCATATGAACGAATTAGAAATGCATCAACATTTAATAATTACTTGTCATATTTTTCTGTGGAAGAATATGAAATATTTCAAATTATTAAAAGTTTATAGCATCGTGAATGATAACCTATTTATTATAGCTTATCTTCTATCTTAAAATAAAGAATAATAAATTTGCAGCTAAAAAAATTATTTTGTTTATATATTCAGACTAGTGAAAGTGGCACAGAGGTCACGGGCATGCCATCATGGCATGCCAATGGTGGCATGCCAAAAGCCAAAATAGTAAAGAGGCATGCCATTTCATAAGGGTCGTCTAAAAAGAGACATATCACGTGATGACGGACCAATCAAATTCGAAGTGACAATCTATCGATTTAGACGTCTCCCACTTATAGTAACTGATAACAGATAATTGAAAGGAGGTACGTACGTACGTACGTACACTTTAATTAATTTAAACTGCTGTACGCTTTGCTAATCATACGTAATATGTTTAATTTGTATTTTCACGAGTAGCCTGAACTTGTATGTACGTACGTCTCCAGCATCTCAATTCTTATACGTGAGCGCATAGATCTACAGAGTACAATTTACTCTTTCTACAGATCTTAGATCTTTATAGCCGATCTATAATTCTAACTACGATCGATTTACATTTAAAGAACTTATAACATTAATTAGTTAATTATGTATAAGGATGGTCTGATATTCTATCCTTACTTCAGCGGTTACGGGTATCAATGATAAGTTTTATGCAAAAAAAATTATTATATTTATTTTTTCAAAGGGTCAGATTCTAACGAATTATTTTATTGATGTTAAGGTTCGCTTTATAATAGAAGTAACTGTGAAGATTCGAACAAAATATCTATATTTCTCAATTTATTACAAAATATTTTGTAAAAAAAAGTAAGTTATATTTTTATATTATGACTCACAACTATATACCTATTCCGACGAAAAAAAAGGAAGTTACTTTATATTTAATAAGAAGAAACTTCTTATTGCACAATTTAAATTTGAAAATATATATCATCGATTGACCACTCTTCAACACTATTAGCAGGTCTTTGATAATAAGTCACCAAGTTTTCATTATCTGTTTCCATTTGATTCTGTTCGAATGTGTCAGCATTAAAAAAATTATTTATTGCTAACTCATTCTCATCGTTCACCTCCATATTTACTTCATCAATGCTAATTTGTAAAAACTCTTCATCTAATTCTTCTTCGAAATAGGGGTCAA